AGAGGGTTTCATTGCCGCGGCCTTTGCCGGTATTGGTCTTTGAGGGAGTCAGCTCAAGGTTGGCTGGGTAACCCTCGAGCCTACCAGCGCTCGCATTCGACAGATGGACACACTCTGTGTCATCCTCCTCCACTGCGGCGAAATACGCCTGAGGCTTCGGCGCCGCCGACTTTGCGGCTGCATTGGCAGTTCCCCCAGACTGTGCTGGGGTTGCGGTGCCCTTGGAGCCATTGCCCTTACCGCTAAACTTGCAGGCAGCATCTCCGGCCCAATGGCCGATCACACCGCACTTCAGGCACCTACTCTTTGCCTTAAGCTCTGCTAACTTGGCCTTACGGTCAGCAATGGTCAAATTGCTACGCACGACCTTCCCTCCGGATTTTCCGGGGGACTTGCCCTTGTTCTTTCCCTTTCCTTTTCCTTTCGCCTGGGCAAAGGCGGTCTGTGCCGCGTACGCAAGCTGAACTGACTCGGCATAGGAATCATCCAAATCGTCAATCTCAGCTTCATATGCCACTGCCGTATAGGCGTTGAGTTGCAATGCTAGATCCTCATCATCAATCCATTCATCCGCATCATCTCCCCCAGACGCTGTGGCCTGGTATGCTTCTTCGCCGTAGCCGTCACCGTAGCCTTCCGCGGATTCCTGTTGTTCCTGGTAACCATACTCTGCGGCACTACCATCATACCCCATATAGCCGAACTTAGGGTATTGGGGCTTAGCGTCGAAACGTCTCCAGGTCTTACCTGGGCCACTAGGGTCCTTCTGGGTAAGAAGACGTTCCTTCATGTGCACCACTGAGTGATGCTGAACAAGGACGCGTGCGTACTCATCCACGCTGTGTACGCGGGCGGCGGTCTTGACCATTAGCTGCTCGGACCTTTCCAACCCTGAAAGCTCAACGAGGAGATTAGCCCTCATTGCTTCAGATAGGCGGATATCAGGATCCAGCTCACGCAAGGTCGACCACCACCGCTTTCGGCGGGCTATGTAAGACAACATAGGCTCGCCAGGTTGCTTTGCAAGTGGGCCCGTCAGGAGCTGTCCCTGACGGAAAAGTTCGGACGCCTCTTCGGATTGAAGAGGGAAGGCTTGCCTCCTGATTTCTTCTATCAGGTAGTCGACGCCGTCATGGCGAAGCAGACGTTCCAGGCCGACGTCGCGAGCGATGCAAAAGGCATCTCCTCGGAGACCCTCTAGGATCTTGCTAACGCATTCGCTCATGTCGAGCGACTCGTCCTTGACGTCTTGCAAGGTGTACACCGCCGGATCTGTGTCCGGCTCTTGTTCATCGTCGCCCGCCACTTGGCTGGGGTGCGACGGTAGCGACTCCGCATCCTCATCTTCTGCCTCGGACGCGGGCTTAGTCCGTTTTGCGCTGGACGGACTGGCGGGTATACCGCTGCTTCCATCACCATCTGTGGGCGATGCGCTGGTCCCCTGACTTGCCCTGCCACGCCACTTCCTTGGTGACTCGCTCTTGGCCCTTGCCGACTCGGCAAAACGCAGGTCCTTAAGAGCTTCGCGCCGCTGCTTCTCCTTATGCTGCAGCACACGGATCTGTGTCCGGAAGCACCAATCATGGAAGCCAGCAGCCGTACCGTCGTATATGTACGACCCGCTTTTGGTTTCTGCAGGGCTCAGGTTCTGTGACCAGAGATTGGGCTGGTAACGCAAACCTGCCACGCTCATGGCTTCGAGGATAGAAGGGGCCTTTGCGCCGCGACTATCACTACACTACCCAACGGACCCCGGACCACAGGCTCAACGGGGGTGAAACACTAGTGGTTGTCCTCACAGCTCCGCTACCAGTTTGAAGCAGGAACTGGATTAGTGAGTGTCCAACCACACAAACGAGCACACTTTTTGGTCTGAGCCCAAGACGTCTGTCGTACAGGGTGCGTTCAGAACTAACACAAAAACTACGCTCGCATGAGGACATGTCAACACGGCGCTTCAAGACAGGGAAATTTCACAGACTGAAACAGTTCCAGTCCTTGGAGCTTTGCAGGGACCTGGTGCCATCACCTGCAAGGATCAGGCAGTGGGGGGGGGGTGGGGACCTGGGCGAGCTGCATTTTAGCCGCACCTTCGTCGCCTTCCGATCCCTCGGCCTGTAACCTCGCGAAAACACGTCCGACAGAAGGCCTACATGCACCCCACTGCTCATTCACGTCACGCACGCGCAGGTTTCATCGCGTGCCGCGCTTGCTCTCGTAAGGCCAACGCGGAGGCAAATTCCTGCCCACAGGAAAGATTTTTCAAGGGCCCAGCTGCTCTGCTACTCTGCTACTCAGCTTGGCCCCGAGGTCTCAGGCTGTCCCAGGTCCTTGGCTTGGGCGGTGTGACTTCCTCCTCATCTTCAGCACGATAGCGCAGAACCATTGCCTCAAAGCCAGTCGAGAAACGGCTGAAAACTCACGCGCTCTACTTGGGCTCGAGCCGTGCTTGGCACCTGCCATATCACGAAGAGCCAGGCGCTGCGAGAACCAAGCTGAAACCAAAGCAGCTGCGGACGAGACGATGTGCGCATGAACTTTCGAAGAAGCTTTTCTCGGTCCTCAGCACCTGTCACGCCGTTGCGAACCGGTGCCTGCCTGACAGCGAGTCACACTCGCTTTCTGCCTGAAAAGTGAAAAAGAAGTATTCGTCGTAGACAGCGAGAGGAGAACGAGAGAGGGAGAGAGAGACAGCGTATGACAGGGTTGGCAGAAGGAGCGAGTTCTGCACTTAGTGCGATCGAGCACGCATGTAGATGCCATCTATGCTTGCTCACATGTAGACATGCGTGTACATCCAGCCAGGACGACACCGTCGAAATGCGAAGGGAATGCTGATCACCATGGTTCCATCTCGTGCTCACGCGATCGCGATGGCCGCACAATCCTACTCCATGAACTTACAAAATGTTCCAAAGCAATCCGCCCACAAGCACGCCAGCGGCTAGCGGCTGAAACACATGTACAGCTGAAGCTGGCACAAGTCACAAGTGACCAAATGAAGCGATGAAGCTTTTTAACCACAGCTGCAGCAAAATCTTGTTGCGTTGGCAGGTGGCTCCACTCAGAGACTCGGGCGGAGCGGCGCTCCGCTCAGCGGAGCGAGGCTAAGCCACCTGCACGGCAACAACACGGAGCTGCGCAACACTCTGGCAGCTTCTCCTGCCAACCCTTGCAATGCCGACTTAAGATCACACACACGCCCACTGGCCCACTGGCCCGGCCCGAGAGGGCGCGGGCCCAGTACACTTTCTGTCCTGTCTCGACTCTTGTCTACTGAGGCTCTTTATTTCGAAGCTCGCCAAGCGCAAAGCGCCGCTGATGTGGACGGAATTTGCCAGTGTCTAGAGTCCAGTCTGCAGATACAGTTTCGGGTTTCGGACGGTCGGCTCGACATCACGCTTGAGGCCATGTAGACATGCTTGCAGGAAAGGGCATCACCTTGGGTGTTGGCTGGGTGCAACCTTCAAACAAACTCGTCGCTCTGCAGCGTCGCAAGACACAAATGAACTGATTCCAGGCTGTCTTCTCTCATGGAGTCTGGCGACCGCAGTCTGGCGCCCAGCATCCGGCAACAGAGTTCACATGGCACAAGTTTAAAAAAAATTGATCGAAACCCCACGCGAACCCCGTCCGAAAGCCGACACCAGAATCCCTTGAGCCCACCTCGAAGCCCTAAGTCGTGACAAAGCCGAGCGCCGAAGGAGTGAACCCGACTCAAACCTCAAATCGGAAGCCGAAAACCTAGATACCCCCCAAGCTTGAAGTCGAAAGCCTACAAGCTTAATACAAGCCCGAGGTGCAACCGCAAGGCCCAAGGAATCTGAAGTCAAAGCCCTTTTCCCGCAAAAGGCCTATTCCCACCCTCACCCTCACCCAGAACCGGAAACTCGCCCTTGAACCCCAAAACACAAAACCGAACGGATTCAACCCCACCCCAAACGGGCAGGCGAAAGCCGAAGAAGTGAACCCATCCAAGCGATTGGACCTAAGATAAAATCCAAGCGAAAGCCGGCAAATCTAGGGCACCGACGCCAAAGCAGAGCAAAGCCGTTTTCCCGAGGCCCCACAGCCCAAACGACGGCACAAACCAGTTACCTAAACCGGCGACACAAGCCCAAGCCCTATGCCGGAAGCAAAAACTCTCCCTTAACAGTTATAACAAAGTTAACACAGCCCCCAAACAGGACCATGAAAAGCGGACGACCCTGAGAATTCGGCTTTTCTCAAGCCGGCAAGTGGAACCTCCCCGAAACGGCTGCCGGGGCCAGGGCAGCCCAGGTTTCGGAAGGGTTAACCAGCTTTCGTGAATCACACCGAGCACCCATGGCAGCGGCGGGGGGTGGCGTGGAGAAACTCGAAGATGAAGGCTTGAAAGGACAAACGAAGTTAAGGGAATCTCCCCCCCAACAGGCGGAAAAGGAGCGAAGCCAGGCCTGAAGCCAAACACACACAGAGACACACAAACACACAGACACACACAGAGACACACACACAGACACAGACACACACAGACACACCCCTTATCAATGCAACTTTTCGGGAAGGCCAGCAGGCATCCCCATCGGAACGCACGGCGATGGCCCCGAGCACGGCCGAAGAGGCCGTAAGTTAACAAAGAAGCCCCAAGTCGACGCAAGGACGTCCCAAGCGACCAAGCGACCGACCGAGCGTTGACCGGCGAAGCCGGGCCAAAGGCGCTCAAAGGCCGGCCCCGTTACAGCCTCCGCCGCCGCCCCGCCTCCGCCGCCGCCGCATTCTGAGTCAAAGTCTCTGCCCTCCTTCGACCTTCGGCCCCCCCCCCCCCCCCCCCCCCCCCCCCCCCCCCCCCCCCCCCCCCCCCCGCCGCCTCAATCTCTCTCACTCTCTCTCTCTCTCTCTCTTTTTCTCTTTCCCAAACTAAACCCAAAAGAGAGGAGGCAGGGCGGCAGGGCAGCGGTGACTCTGCAAAGCGGGGCCCTTCAAGCGCTTCGGCCTCGCTCCCGCGGCGGCGCGGGCGGCTAGGCTCCAAAGGCGCTGGAGGTCATCAGCCGGAACTCGTCGTCGTCCTACGCCGCATACGGCAGTCGCATGGCAGCCGCACTCTCACTCTCTCTCTCTCTCTGCATTCCGCTCTCTCTCTCTCTCGCCTCGTGGACGGCGGAAACCATGCGGAAGAAGTCCAGGAACTTCCCGAAATCGAAAGCTGAGCCTCCAGGCAAGAAGCTGCTCAGAGGCGTCACTTGCCCTGGCAGGGCCTGGCATGGCCTGGCCTGCTGCGAAGAAGTCCACGGCATCGAAGAACTCCTGCTCCGCTTGCCTGGGATCTTTCCTGGACAGGGTCACAGCTGCGAACTACGCCCCAAACACCGCCCCTTCAGGCCGCGTTCCTTCGCAGAAGGCACTGAGGCGCGCTGGAGGCGTCGAACCTGCGCGGAGAAGACAAGGCAGCAGCACGCTGCCGGCAAAGGACGGCTCGGCTGCTCGGCTTCCATTGCAGGGCCGCAGGGCGCCTGTTCTTCAGCGTGTTGGCCGTCACTGACCCGCCGGATCCGCCGCCCAAGGCCTCGCGACGCACGGATTCAACAAGGACAAAAATAGGCATTCTGCAGGCACTCGGCGGCCAGGCCTTCTTGTCTTTTTTCGAAAGCGCACAGCCCAATGAAACGTTCTCCCGCTTTGGGAAGTCAGGCCATCGCAACGTGCTTTAAATCACGGTTGATCCGGTAGTCATGAGTCATGCAGCGGATGCCGATTCTACTGTGACGTTCTTGGCAGTGGCGCGGCCGTTAGAAACGTCCACGGTGAACCGGACCTGGTCGCCCACATTCACGCCGCCTGCTGCCCCTAGCTCGTTCTTGTGCAAGAAGATCTCGGACAAGAAGACGCCCTTCGCCGCAGCCGAGTCGATGAAGCCCCAGCCCTGGCTTCTGGTTGGGGAAATGGAAGACAGAAAAGGGAAGAGTGAAGAGAATGCATGGCCGCATGGCTGTGCTCTGTGGCCTTGGCGTCGTTGAAGGCTTTCACAGTGCCGCTGTAGGAGCTCGCGGCGCTGCCTTCCTCAAAGGCCTCCAAACGGCTGAACCCGCCAGGCTACTAAGTTACTTGCTGCAGCTCATCCTGTTTTGTCCGGTTTAAGGACATCTTCTTGAACGTCTGTTGTACCCAGACTGGGACTGCTTCAGACTTTTCTCTTGAGCGTCGTCAAACGATCCCCGGGTTAAAACCGGAATCCTCGCACTGCGTGTTGCAGCCTTGCACCGAATGCTTGTGTCGACACTGACTGAGCTACTAATAGTCTTGCTGGCACGTAGCGTGAGTAGCAATGTTTCAGAGCAGTATTTGTAGCGTTACTACCACTACAAGCGTTGCCAACATTTCCACTCTTTCCACTGCTGCCACTGTTACACGTTTCGCCCATCCAAAGCTGCTACTGTGAGTGCTAGCAACGAGAAGTAATGACATTGGCTACCACTGCTGGCATGTTACCAACATTTTGAAGCTGATAGCATCACTCGAGACCGTGTGGATTGGGCCTCTCGGGGGCCTCTCGGTCTGGGCCTCTGGGAGGCCCGAGCTCGCCTGGATGTTGATGGCATGGGCGCCTTTCGGCCCAGGTGACACGCTGAAGGACACTGCCTGGCCGGGAGTCACCTTCGCCTCCTCGATGCTCGTCCTATGCAAATATGATCTCGGACCATCTCTCTCCTCTCTCTGCTCCGCTCTTTGGGGTCCGGTCCGGTCCGGTCCTGTGTGCGAAGATGTCCTTGCCATAAATCCGGGTCATTGCCTCGCTCGCAATGTGCCCGAAGCCTTTCTCGTTGATGGCTTTCACTGTGCCGAAGAAGACATCAGTCTCTTTCGGGTCGGAGAAGCCCCTCCCGTAGCCCTTCCCAAAGCCTCCAAAAACAGATTTGCGAGAGGGAGAGATTCTGTGCGTCGGCCGTGCCTCCGTAGCCGAAGAGCATCGGCGGAACGAAGCCCATTGGAAAGCCCTTGCCGAAGCCTTTGGCGCCCCATCTTCCTCCCGGAGGGTCCTTCGAAGGGAGCGGATGGAGGGGAGACGCGAGACTCCGGAGCTCTGCAGTCCAGCACGCGGACATCTGAAGCGATGGGACCTCGCTCTCCTGCCTGCGGGCAGAGCACTTAAGGCTTCAGGTGATGCGACGGGATGCGACAGCTCCACCCTCGGCCTTGGCCCGGAACTGCACGTGGAGGCCCTGCTCCGGCCAGGCGTCCCCGAACTCGCTCCTCGCCACTATAAATCACAGCAGATCGGGCCAGGCACGTGTGCACGCAAAGAAGACGGTCGATGGGTAGTAGACAGACCCTGTGCGGAAGACGGTCCTGATGAAGAAGCAATCCTTTCCAAACAGGCTCTCGGTCGCTGGACTCGAGAGGAAGCCAAAGCCTCGGCTGAGGCCAAGAGCGCATCTCCGAGGCGTAGCTACGTCTCTCTTCTCCCCCCTCCTCTCTTCTCTCTGACTCTCTCTTCCGAGCGGCCCTTGAGCTGATTGAAGCTCCGGACTTCGCCGAAGAAGAGCGGTCCGCCCGCTCCGGCCGCTCCCTCTTCCTTGCCCAGAGCCGATCCCTTCACCTTGACGTCAGTGGCCCTGGCGCCCTTTTCGCTCTGCGTCACGCTGAAGGTCACCTCATCGCCTTTGCACACGCCGAAGCCATTCAGGTCGTTCTTCAGCAAGAAGACGTCCGACCCAAAGAGCTTCTGCGTCTCCTCGCACTCGATGAACCCCCAGCCCTGGCAACAGGGGAACCGCGGCAGGGGTTGCGCGTGCGCGCGCGCGCGCGCGCGAAGACCAGAGCTAGTCAAGAACAGCGTAGAAGAGTTTCTCTTCTCTTATATAGAGGTGACTTTATACTCTTTTGTAGTCTAGAGTCTAGAGTAGCGGTACGCTCGGTTTAGGGGGCGCCAGGGCTCGGCTCTAAGGCCGGCGGCCGGCCCCGCCGCGGCCCCGCGGCCCCGCGGCCCCGCCCAGTGCCTTGTGCGGGTTGAAGGAGCGCACGGTGCCCGTGTAAGTGGACATGGCGCCCGGCGCGCTCAGCTAGCGCTCTTCTCTAAAGCTGCACGGCGCGCCAGCGCGCACTGCCGCGACTCACCCTCTGACCTGGAGCCCATGAGCAAACTGTCAGACGGCGCATAGTGGCGTCTGCGAGCGTTGCCTTTCCGGGCCGCTCTGGGCCGCTCTCTTCTCTTTGGCTTCCGAGCGCCCTCCCCTCGAGAGCCTCGAAGAGCTGCTCTACGGCCTGCTCGCGGTCCTGTCCGACAGGCTTATAAGGCCAGCAGGCGCCTCCCAATCCTCCCCCAAAGGCACCCCCGCCCACTCCGCCCTGCTGTCTTTCACGGGGGCTCCTTTTCGAGGCTGTCCCCTCGTAGCAAGTGCAAGCACCTCGCAGCAGAACGCAGTTCTGAGCTGATGCGAGTCTCAGACTGAGGCGAGCGCTGGAGGTAATCCTCAGAGAACCGGGGACACGTCGAAAGAGCTGTGAAGAGAGAGAGAGAGAGAGAGAGAGAGAGAGAGAGAGAGAGAGAGAGAGAGAGTCTTCGGCCCAGGCCATGGCTGCGCCTTTCTTCTTCTGCGAGAGCTCCTGGCGTGGACGCATGAGAGCCGCATGAGCCGCATGCGGCGCTTTCGGTTCTGTCGCCCGCCTTGAAGAGGAGCTCCTGATCCTCCGGCGAGAGGCCCAGGCCCAGCACGCGGTTCAAGCCTGCAGGGGCAGACACGTGCTCACGCTTTAAGGCAGCATTGACACTTTTTTCATTGCCCTTTCAAAGTGGGCATCCGGGCGCTGCCAGTCCAGGCGCATGATGGTCCCGTTCCTGGCATTCAGGGAGCGACGGCTCCGCGGAGCCGCCGCTCCCTAAGAGACTACTCGCGGCTCGCGGCGTAGCGTGCCTCCGGTAGTCGAAGTTCTGGAAGCGCTGAACCAGAGCAAGCCAGCCTCCGACGCAGAGATTTCGAGCGAGCAAACTGCCCGGCCCCGGCCCACGCCGCCAAGCCTTGCCTCGGAGGCCTCGCAGGGCGATGCTGCGCCGTAACCTGCCAGTCTTAACACTTTTCCCCGCCGCCCCCTCCCCCCGGTTCCGCTGCTGCCCCACAGTTCGGCGGCACCTTTCGAGCACCTCGCTGCTGAGGGAGCTCCCCCGCTCGTTGAAGACCTCCATGCAGCGAAGAGCGGAGGCTTCCGCACGGAAGCGCTGCGCTCCCCGTTCCACAACTCACTTTAAAGCGGGGCTTCCGGGGCGCTTGGCGCGGCGAATTCGAACACTGTGGTTGTATTCGACGAGGCTCACTTTTCGCTTCATCTCAACTTTTTCAGCAGCTGTCGACCATGTGCCATGTGCCAGTCTCCCGCTTTGAGCCGCTTGAGGCTTGTTCAACCTGCACCTGAAGACAACTTTACAGGATGTCGAGCGTCGAGCTCTACTTGAGGATCACGATTCAGCTGTTACACCGTCTTTTCGTCGATGTGCTCCGACCAAAGCTGGGTGGAGAGCTCTTCAAACCGTGCCGCAAGGAAGCCTGCCCTCTCCGGAACACCTCATCCACTCGGAGGCTTCCCGGCAGGGCACGCTGACGCGACACCGAACGGCGATTGCACACCCCCAGCACAAGTCCGTCAGCTAGGAGCCCTCCTGGATCGCACATCCGTACGGCAACCCCCCCATCGTCCCTAGGATGCTGCACAAGCCAGAAGAACCTCGACATAGCTGGCCGGAGCTCTGGCATCCACTACAGCCTTTGGATCTAAGTCTCACTGCGAGCAGCTGAGTCTGGGTGCTCTCTTTCGACGCCCACACATACGGCCGGTGGTTGGTGTAAGCAAGTGTGTACAACGCTCAGTACGCGAACTTGACACAGCTCCCGGAAGCGATTCACGTGTACAGTACAACTTCCTTCGAGCGGCTGCATGTGGCGGCCAAAGCCGTAGTGCCGCGCGGAAGCAACCGCATGTGTTGGCGCTCGGTTGTCCTTTGTTCTCCTGCCACAGCAGATTCAATAAGGAGTCATGCCAGCCAAAGAACACAGAATGATTGTGAATCCAACAAGATGGCAATCATTACCGGGTTCAAGACATCCCACCCTTTTTCGCAAACACTTCAATCCGCTGCTCCTGCATGTGAGAAGCAGATCTTGGTCTTGCAATCTCAATGCTGCCGCATGCTTCCAACAAGACACCCGATTTCGCCATGCCTGCTCGCCGGTTTTCAGCTGCATACCCACGTGCGCATCAGAGATCATGCAAACTTTTGCCTGCTTCCTTATTTCTTAAGTACACATTTGACGTCAACATGGGAGTCCATGGGAGAATGACAACACCAATGTCATCCACCCACCCGATACGATGGCCCAGCCGTAGCCGTGTAGCAACACGTTCGGAGCGAGGTCACGTGCGACATTGTATGGTGTTATGGTGTTGCAGGCATGGCATCAATGTGTGGCAATGGTCTCCAACCGACCAAGTGCCCTCCGGGCCCTGGGCTCCAGCTGTGGGGTCTGATTGAAGTTGCCTCCTCTCCCTCGCAACCACTGCCAGTCATGGAGAACTTCAGTGAGCCAGCATCGTTGAGCACCGATGCTGGACTCGAGCAATACATGAACTCTGCTACATGACTTGCGCAGGAGTTGAGCTAGAAGTCTCAGCGCAAAAAGTCCATAGGAGCAGGAAGCCCAACAGCTCGAAGCAACTCTCGATGAGTGACATGTGCATCATGCTTTGACTGTGGGCCGACCAACAAGGCTTTACCGGATTGCGACGCAAGCTTTTCAGCAATACGCATGCAAAAAGACCATGCCGCGACAGCAAAACCCAAACAGGCGACAACACGCTTGCGATCTGAAGATCATCTGCCGCGGATGTCGCGACGATTAATCCGCCGAGGCCACAGGCCCAGGCGTCTTGGGGGTTAGCTCAGGTACCCTCCACCTAATCCTCCTCCCTGCGGTCCAAACGTTTGGGGACACCCGTTTTTTGCGTTCGTTTGCCACCCCCTTGCCCGGCTTCCCTTCATTTTACCTGATTTGTTGGCCTGCCTCTCCCTCACAGGCCCCTCCCCCCCCTTCCTCCCCCCACCCCCCCCCTCCCCCCCCGTCCCCCCCCCTTCCCGGGTTTGACAGGCCGCCCTAGCATAAAAAAACATCGACTGCCCCCTCGCCCTGCCGCTACACAGCCGGCGTAGCGTTAAAATTAAAGCATCTCTGAAGACCCGCTTCCGAAGAGGATCAGGGACCCTGCGAACGTCCCCTCTTACCTTGCTTACGGTCGAACGTCCCAGTTGTCAGCGTGGGACGAGCTTGGTACAAATCATGCGCGAACTGGGGCGCACCGGCCCAATGATTGTGTTTTGCTACGGAAACTCTGTTGCCAAGCCAGGTTGTCCGTGAGCTAGACTCCCAGGAACGCAACAGGTTTAAGAAGGCCCAGAAGCGTTCGCTGGCCGACAGGAGGCCAGTTGTGCAGACGGATGTCTCAGGGTGCCTTCTACCTGTCATCGAGGAAGGAACGGTACCTGCCCACTTAATCGAAGACTTCCTTGGAAGGTTCCTTCCTGTGATTCTGTGATTCCTTCTGCATGTTTTTGATTCTTGCCTGCAGCGCGAGACGCTTCTACGAGGTGCGTGAATGTCTCGTCTCCTCTCCTCGAATTCGTGTCTGCTCTTTCTCTGGGGCCCCGGCGATGGAGGACTTGGTGATGGCGGAGGCCCTCGGAAGGCTGAGAGCGGCTGCCCCGCTGCCCCCGCTCTCTCTTGGCCTCTTAGCCTCTGGCTGTGGTCCGCGGCTGAAGCGCTTATGGTCCTCGTCAGAGCGAGACTCCGATGCGAGGTGGAGGCCGATCGAGGGAGTCTCCTGCTTGGGACCTCGTGGGCTTTCCACGGCATAAGCCGAAGGCCCCGCATGCGCCGGGGGCCTCAAGTGCGGTGCGGTGGCACCGGCGGCCGACTCGCAACTCGCGGTCGCCTCCGCTCCGCCATGGGCGAGGGCGCTTGCTCCAAGCTCACGCGGGAGCGCCTGCACCGAGCGGCGGCCGGGGGCGCCGCGTACGCGGAAACGGCGGAAACGCGTCGCGGCGCCTCGGAGATTCGCCGCCGCCGCCCGTCGCGTAGCCGGAGCCCACCGCCGGGCCGGGCCCCCAGGGCCCCGCCGCCGCGTCGACCTGACGGGCCGCAAGTCCCCCCGCCGCATCTCGCTCGCGTGGCGCGCCGGAAGCGCGCGGCTGCGGCCCTGCCTTGGGCAAGTCCCAGATGCGCTGCCTAGGCCAAACGCATCCAAAACATGCGAAGCGCGCGGCTTCTTCAAGGTTTCTCAGCCACTTGCACGACGAGGTCGAAGAGCGAGTCGTTCTCAACCTCGAAAACCCCCCAGAGCGCGCTGATTTTGACGAAGCTCGGAGGAGAAGTATGGAGAGAGAGAGAGAGAGAGAGAGAGAGAGAGAGAGAAAAGGAACTCTCTCTTCGTCAAGCGGCGGTGGAGGAGACCACCTCGTAGTAGGCGAGGAAGTCCGCAAAGGAGACCATGCCGTTCTCACAGCCACCGAGTACGTGTGCCAGCTGGCTGAAGGTGTCCAGGAACCTGAGCGGTTTAAAGTTTGAAGTTTATTGTACCTTTCGAGAAGCTCAAGAAGCGGCGAGGAAATCTCAACACGACGTCGATCGGGCTATATTTGTGGTTCTGAGGGTGGGCAAAAAAGAGCGCTTTGCTTCCCGACCCGTCCCGTCTCAACCCAAGCCATACTCTAGAATCTAGAAGGGGCCAGCGGCCAGTGCAAGGAGGCCACTATTTCTGGGCCGCCGCTCCCCCTCTCCCTCTCCGAGGGGCTCCGCCAGGACGTATCCAGGCTCGAGCTGGCCGCGGACCACCAAGGGATGTGCCTCCCGAGAGTGCGCGAGCAGTGCGAGCAGCGCGAGAGTGTGCATAAGCGCTCTTAGGCGCTCTTAACTTCTTCCGCTCTTGTCGGCTCTGCGAGCACTTTCGCTTCTCTCGCTGCTTCGCTGCGCCCGCTCCCGGCCTGTGCCACGAAGCGCTCCTTCAGCGTCGCGGGGCTCACCTTATACAGCTGAGCTACAGAGCGCTGCCGATGGACGGGGCGGGGCACACCGCTTCCGCCGAGGCCCGGGCCACCGAGCGAGGATCTCCCAAGTCGCCTTTGGCCGCTGCAGTCTGAGCGCGCCTTTTTGCCGCCTTTTTCTTCTGCGCCTCCGAGGACCGCGAAGGCTCGCTCCACGAGGGCTCGGCGAGCGGGCGACAGCTCCTGTCACGGCAGCACGGGACCCGACCCCACAATCCAGCAACGGTGCACAGGGCGTCCCCATGGAGGAGCTTCAGGAACACGGGCAGCTGGAGCTTGCCCTTGGTCTCTGCGCACGCCTCGAAGATGGAGACCTGCAGCATCCGACCGCTCTTCATCCGCATGCTGCGCCCCTGCTGCGCACCTCTTCGGCTTCGCGGAAGCTGAGTCCAGCCTTCCGGCAGGCCTGGCGGAACTCGTACCTGCACGGCTACAGGGCAGCATCGGCCGCATCTTGCTGCGGTTAGCGGCCCACATCATCGCGTCTACCATGCAAATACTGGGCTATTATACTATTGAAGATCGCAACGCCATGTGTGCCCATCACCGTCGAAGCAGACAAGTTGCAAGCATGTGAGGGGTTGGATATCGGAGTGTTTTTTGTTTTGCCATCGCCAAAGGGGGTGTGGAGTTCGCGCACGTGTCCAGCTGGTCGTCCACGTCGTCGTCTGCTGCATAGAAGTGCCTTCTGCAGGGCACAGCGGGCACAGCGGCCGTTCGGCCCTCCTCTGGGCCCCATGCTGGACCACGTCGACAGCGGACCGAAGGCCACGCCTCTTAAAGAACCCCGCTCGCAGGCTGAGCCAAGCTCTTGGCCGGACTACTGCTTCTTGTGCTCTTGCTTTGCAAACCTGTCCTTGTGATCTGAGCCCGGGTGCGCTGCATCACCTGCAGGCGGCGCGCGAGCCATCGCGAGGCGCGGCTCCCCCTGTGTGACTTCCTTTGGCTCCGGGCATCCTCGATCTTCGTCACCATCTCCACTTTGTGGTGCGTGACAGTCATCGGCAGCGTGTTCGTCTCGGAATGGAAGTCTTTTTTGGCGGGAGGGCGGGAGCAGGGACAGCGCGCTCCCGCGTGCCTGCCAGTGGTGGAGGCCGGTTCGGACTTTTTGCGGAGCACCCGCAGCGGGCCGAGCCAAAGCCGCGCGCGTCTCCACCGCAGCGTCGAAGGCCTTGTCCAAGTCCCAGACCTCCGCCAGAATCGAAGCGAAGCGATCAGCGATCGCCTTTATTATAGCTTATAAGTTCGACTCCAACCCTGCGCCTTTGCCAGGAGCGATGTGAAGTCCTCGTCGGAGGCGAAGCAGCCACTAATGGACCTCATGAGGTCACTGCGCTGTCACTGCGCTGCGCACTCAGCCGCGACTTTCGCTCCTTTCGCTCCGCTGCTCTTCAGGCTCGCGGCTTGTAGTAGTCCTGTGCAGACGGCCACACTCTTAGCTCTCTTCCGAACTCCCATTCAACTGCCCTTAAGCGGTGGAATGTGACGCATACTGGGGTCGTTGGACGGGGATCCCTGCACTCTTTACTCCCGCGTACCGACCTCATCCCCGCGCTCTCTTCGGCAAGTCTCAAGTCTCTCGACGCATGCAGTCCCGCGGTGTTGGCCTGCGGATTGCAGTTTCCCTCCTTTTGTGAATAAGCAACAACTGAGTACAGGACGACATAGCATCATCAGTTCGTTCTCATGACGTTGGGGGTCGCTGTGGGGTACTCACCTTTTCTCGGGAAGCCACAGCGCAACAAGGAGAAATGCGATAGCGAGTACAGGTGAGTCCCTACTGTTTTATACTGCGTGTGTACTCGTCATTTGGGGTCGCCTTGTCTCTTAGGGGTCGCCTTGTATCTTCGGGGTCAGTTGCGCGACCCTCAAGCGTTCCCCCTCTCTCTCTCTCTCTCGCTCGCTCTGCGGTCCTCGAACTCCTCCCAGGCGACTAAATTCGTCGGGTAGGAGCCTCGAGACTCTGCTCACTCTGCTCTGCTCATCTGCGAAACCCCTGCCCGTCGGCGTCGGGGCGGCCACGCTGTCCGCGCCGGAAGCTGATATGATCCTCTTGGATCAACCCGCGACTCTTAGTGCATTCCCCGTTAAAATACTTTTTCAATTAGCTGTCGCTTCCGCAAGTTGCCCCCAACGCGACCGCGACAGCTGTCCTTCAAGGTGTCTCCGAACTCTTCGAGAACCTTGATCAAGGCTGAATCTTCTGCTCCACTGCGCAGCTACGCCAACAGGAGGCAAAATTCAAGAACCTCTTCTGCTGTGCGCGTACCAGCAGACACCTGCCCAACTTTCATTTGTGACACATTGTGGCGCTTGCCCAATTTGGTTTTTCCGCGAAGCTGCTTGGGACCGCATATTGTGATGATATTCACTCGATGCTGATATTTACTTTCATGTATAAAGTATATATGACATATATGATCGATTAACGCGAGGTCGTCTGATCTTTGGAGTGCGATCCATCGTAAATTCCACATACGGGCTGCATGCGGCCCGAACATGAGAAATGACAAGACAGCCCTCTCGATGCTTCGTGCGATCAGCGCGAGCCATGGTACGTCCATCGGTTGTTGCAAGCCTCCAGCAATATAGCGGCAAAAACCATTTGAAACCTGATTGGCCTGTGTCTAGGCTGTTCCGGATTTGTGAAGATTCTTGAGTTTCTCACTGCTACATGAGCGCTTCACTCGTGTCAGCTTCCTCCCATGAGGTTCAACATGGGCTTTGGGCCCGGACGTCGGCCGGACTGCATCCTTTTTTGCAAACTGAGTTTTGGATTATAATTGGTAATAACGACTGCGCACGCACTGACCAAATACCCGTCCACGTGTTAGCAGTATAATACTACGTAGCAAGTACCATTGGGCAACTAACCTTTTTCCTGCTAGAGCACTTGTGCCACAATGCGTCACACGACATGTTACTTCACACATGCACAAATTACACCCCCCTCGCCGAAGCGTCAGTCTGAGGCGCAAACATACTCGGAAGATGGTGTTGTGCCGCTGCCGTAAAGGCGGCTGGATTGTGGCTTGGGCTCGAAAGCTGTCTACTACCGGAAGCAGATTAATTCTTTGGGCTCGCGATTCAAAGTCGCGCCATGCAATTGTAAATCGGTAGCGATCCAGCTAGCCGGGACTGTTGTGGAGCGGATACAAGCTTGGGCAGCTTGGGACGAATACATCATCCTCTATAGTGCTGCAATGTAAAAGTGCGGAGTTGTCGCTGAGCGACTGCCAGAAATCGGAAGCTGAGATTTTTCTTGGTTTAAAAGGGAATTTGGCCACCGCGAAGAGTGGCTGTAATTCGGAGTACCGGTTATTGTGTGACGGAACCACAAAATGCGGGAAGGGCTGCTTGGCGGCGCCATCCACGGCAACCAGCGGATCGCTGGTACGGGTGCGACCCATGATGCTGCTGCCATTCCCACGTTTGCTGGTCCTGGCGGCGGGCATCGGCCTCAGCCTGAGCTCTGCGAGACCGCTCTGCATCGCGGAGTTTATCCTCGTATGCACGCTGTGCAGTCTGGGCCATGAGAAGCAAGGGTAGCAAACATACCACTGCTCAGCAGCGTACCCTGCATCTGCATCCAAGTAAATAGGGTAGTCCGAAAACGGCTGTTGCTCCCCCCGTCCGCGGACCTGGTCTTGAACGTAGTTCACCGTCCACGGTTGTTGGCCGCTGGGGCCGGTCCACTTCACTTCATATGGAAGCTCTCCGCTTCCCCTGAGCACAGCGCTCCAAGCTCCACTTCTTAGGATGTACTTGGTGAGGGCGTATGTAACCACCAAGAGCGGCTTGACCACCCACATAAATGACCAATAGGTCAACTGCGCAGTTGCCAGTATGATAGTGAGGTGGCTAAGCAATAGGTCCCGCGCACCGCTAGACCAATCGAGGCGCACAGGGTGCCACACCAGGTGAGGCCGCCTTCCCAGACCTCCCAAAGGAAGACCATGAGTACTCGGACGAATAAGCGGGCGGGCCCTCAGGATAAGGCGCGGCCTTTTTCACTGACGGTGGCTCGGACGGCTGGACTCCCAGGTCCAGTTGAACCACCAGGTCCAGTTGAACCACCAGTAGCGGCCCCCCCGGGCCTTCATCGGGACAGTTACCTGCTTTGTCGCAGGTTTGGTTTTCCTCGCCCTGTAAGAAAGGCCACAGGCCCCCAAGCGGGCGGACAAGCGCTCCTAGCAAAACTAAAGCGACGACCCTCATGGTCACCCTTGAGCCCAGAGCCTACGGAGTTGAAGCACTACGCACGCAGAGCTCAGCTACCACGGAATGCCCCGGTATGCCACATGTTTTAGTCTATGTTGAAATGTTGAATGGATTTCTTCTGTGGATTGCAGAGAATGAAGTTCTCGGGTTCAATGTTGTACAGAACATTGCCCGACTGTGAGCACGACCACTGTGCAGTGCAATGTGCCTCCACAAAAGCTTTTCGGATCTCTGAATGAGCACAATGCGATTGTTCGTTTTCCTTCGAATGCTGGTACCTGCTTCCTGAATGCCATGATGATTGTTTATTCATTGGTTCGCAATTTGAATGATCTTCGACTGAAGTCAAGATCAAGGGACTGTGTTAAATGGCACGAGCCCAATGACCCCATAGTGTTCAAGATGAATTGTGAAAGCAACAAAGCCGAATGGCATTGGGTCAAGACTGGACGACTGCTTGGTTGCACAACGGAATCAGAAGTGAGCTGTGATTGGGGAAAGTGATTGATCTTGGTTTGTTTACAACTATTTGGATTGTATAGTGGAATTTTGCACACACACACACACACACACTCTCTCTCTCTCTCTCTCCCTCTCTCTCTCTCTCTCTTCCTCTTCTCTCTCATCCCTCTCTCTCTCTCTCTCTCTCTCTCTCTCTCTCTCTCTCTCTCTCAAACGACAGTCACAGCTCCACCCTCCTTCAAGAAAAGCAGGACACTGCACTCACTCAAAAGGGCGCAAAAGCCCAAAACAGTAAAGAATAGCTTGCCAGCTGTCTCTGATCATGTGCACCTGCCAAGTTGCCTGCAGCTGGGCCCCCATGTCGTGCTCATGCCGGTGCATCGGTGCATGCCTGAGGGTGGCGGGTCGCGTTGAAGGAGCGCAGCACGACCCCGAGGTCCACGAGCCCCTGCCGAGGGTCAACCCTGACTCGGGAGAGAGCGCTAGCCGCTAGCGAGCCGCTAGCGAGAGGGGAGAGGAGGAGGCTTGCGATGCTTGCGATGCTTCGATCGCTTTCTTCGACTTCTGCCTCCGAAGCCACGTCCAGTCGACGGAAGGCCTGACGAATGGCAGCCTGAGGCAAGGCGTAGCCTAAGGCAGAGGGAATCGCGGAAGGCGTCACATCTCTCTGTCTTCCGACCCTCCGAGCTTGGCTGAGCTCCTCCTTCAAGGCCAGAAAGAACCTCAGTTCTCACGGCAGCAACGGCGACAAGAGCCCAGCACAAAACCAAGGAGCTCATCGTAGGGGAGCTGGTTCACGTGTGGCTGACGAAAGAGGTCAAAGATTGCCCGGAGCTCCCCGAGACTGACCTAAAAAAGCCCGAAGAAGGAGGGCCATGAGCCATGCCCCATGCCACACTGAGAGCGCCTGCAGGTCCTGGAAGAAGTCCCCAAGGACCTAGATTCAAAGCGACAGAACCCGACTGTGCCAGCAGAGCTTTCCATCGGAGGCCTTCTGAAAGACCTCGAAGGTGATGACTCGGGCATTTTGCGGATCCGCATCTCGAATGGCCTGCTGAGGCATGACAAAAGGGACTACCCCTGTGTACGTTGAACCTTTAGTGACTGTTCGACGTGTTGTCCTTCTCCTTCTTTCTCTATTAAAACCCATCATGCACCATCATCAACAACAACAGGAAGGCCAACAGGAACAACAACAGTTACAGAGCCTGTGATGTAGGTAATGAAGATGTTGACGATGAAGTGGCGCGAGAAAACTTGAAGATGGAGAGGCTAGCTGGAGGGCGGGGGTGTCTAACATCAGATATGGGGTGTTGAAGGGGTACTGGGGGGAGGGAGGTGATGGAGGAGAGGAAGAGGAGGGAGGGGATGGAGGGAAGGGAGGGTCAGGGAGGGAAGGTAAAATGTGGACTTTGTTATTTTGCATAGGTAACAGGACAAAGGCAAAGGACAGGATGATACCAGATTAACGGGCACAGCGACAATATTTGGTCCAATCCTCTTTGTTGTCATTTCCTATCGGTAATGAAAAGGGGAAACATGAGACGACGAACGTTGCGAAAACAGCTCGCCGGCAAAATTTGGTACAATCCTCTCCGCCGTCATGTCTAACAGAAATAAGCTCAGAATTGAGTTGTAATCAATTTTCGGATTTGCTCACCGGCAATATATGATCCAATCCCGCCTGTTGTGATTCCCATGCAGGGGGATGGAGGGAAGGGAGGGTATGGGGGGTGGGGGGTGGAGAGGAGGGCGTAGCAATGACAATAGCAATAAGCATTTACAGTGACAACAATAATAATGACAGTATTTCCGAAATACGAGAATAGTTGTCATATTTTTTCGTACTGGCACCACTACTGGTACTAGTAGAACCCTCAGAGAATACTCCCATAAACCCAAGGTCTATGCCACACCAGGTGACTGCAGGGCATTTGCAAGGCTATATACCAGTAGGGCTTTCCGAGGCGCTGCAGCCAGGGAGGTCACGCCGCGGGGACTCTCATAGAGGAAGTCCTTCATCTTCTCCAGGATCTCCTTTGACCGACCGTCAGCGGAGAGCTTTTCAGAGCCTAGCTGTGCGGGCACCTCTGGTGCTTCGGAGGCCTCCCAGCCGAAACTCGGACGGACGGAAAGCGCAGAGCGAAGCCCGGCCTGATCCTCCTCGAGCTCCTTTGCCGCCACGCCGCCGTTCTGACCACGTTCAGCCTGTGTCTCTGTCGTGTTGTGGAATCCTACACGTGCTGTGTAGGCTGCAGCCATGGCCATCCATGCGGCGCCTCCCGGCGCACACCGCTGGTGAACTCTGCCGCAAAGGGCCGGATCGGCAGCAGACCCTGCAGCACTGTCAGCACCCCAGCACTGCGCCGGCTAAAGAGGTGGCGGGACCGGGACGCCTCCTCCGCGTAGCGGTCGAAGATGGCGCGCAGGTCCTGGCAGGAAGGACGAGGACGAGGACACCGCCAGGCGTCGCAGGCCGAGCTGCAGCGAGCTGCCGTCCTTCTCGCTGACACCGGCACTGTAGGGCAGGAAGGCCCGCATGAACGTGGCTGGTTCAAGCCATCCAGTGCCAGAGAGATCGTGATGCCGAAGATCCCTTGCCAGGAAGTTCTCCTGACAGAAGACTTCCCGTGCACGGCGGCTTTCTGAGGCTCAGGCGCGTCGAGGAGCTCCTCAGTCGTTCGACTGTGCACTCGCTGCTGGATCTTCGCGAGAATCGCCTGCTGCAGAGAAAAAACAAAACTCCAAAGCGCAGGAACCAGGGGGCCGCTCCGCTCCTCCTCGATCTGATTGGTGTCGTTTGGCAAGGAAAAGTCCTCACAACCCGGCCGCTCCCGCCCCGCTCTCGGCTCAGAACTCAAGCAAGTCTTGAACTCTGAACAATCCACAGAGAGAGCGCGAGCGCGTCTCGGCCGCTGCTCCTTTGGCGCCATGGCCAGGAGCTGGCGATGGCGATGCGGCAGAGTGTTCAGTTTCAGTACTGAGACGCTTGAGGCGTTGAATTCAAGGCCGGCCGGTTAACTCATCCACGAGCTCTTCAACCTTCATCCCCGCATGCCGCACAACGCCGCACATGTTGCATCCCCTTTGAGCCAATTATAAGGCCTCGGGCCTTGCTGTGTATATCTATAGTGTGCAACAACAGGGAAGATATAACAAGCGCTGCTCTGCGACCTGTCCTTTGCCCTTTTCCGCGTGCCCTGGCCTTTCTGGCCTCAGCAATCGATTCGCCGCCTTTCCGCCCTTACAGGAGGAGGCACGTGGGCAGAACCGGAGAGAGGGTCTCTCAAAAACCGCCCGACCGGTGTGCCCCTGAACATAGAACAGCCCAGCTACTAGTGGCTAGCGGCAAGGGCAACTCATCTCAGCGCTTTCATCTCATCGTCAGGCACCACTCCCCAGGATTCTGGCGAGAGCGAAACTCACTCGGCGGGTTCTCTGCTCTGCCCTGCCGGAAGACATCCCATCCCCGGGGTCGCCTCCATGTACTGCTTGAAGGAGTTGGAGAAGCGTGCAAGTGCGGCGCCGTCCAAGTGACGATGGTCTCCGACCTCAGCCCGAGCACAAAGGTCGTGAGAGGCGGCGTGAGACTCCGATGAGCCCTTCTGCCTCTGCCTTCCTATGGCGCCTATGGCAGCGAGGCCCGAGCCCAGCGGATGTTCATGACTTGTCGGGGCACCAACTGCAGTTCAAGCGCAAACCGCAGAGCACAGAGCACGTACGCGGCACCCCGCACACAGCGGCAGCAGGCAGCGCAGGCAGCGGAGCGCGCTGCTCTGCCTCCATCTTGGCGTTGTAGCGGGGCAGCGCCATGGTGCGGCCCGTGGCGCCGATCACGGCCTGGCCGTCGAAGAGGATCGGCCTTGGGTCCTGCAGAGACTCCGAGACACGGCCGGTACCCCGCCGGCTCCGGCTCGTCGGGCCCGCCCGCCCTGCCCCCTGGCGCTTTTCACCCGCTCCTTGGTGCCGATCACGCCGATGTTGGAAAGTGTGATGGTGCCACCCTCAGGACACCAGACACCCCCAAGCCCCCAGGTCCGACGGCCGCGCTTCGAGAAAACCCGAGCCTGGATGTCGTTGAGGGCCAGCTTGCCTGCCTGCGCCGCTGCAGCCAGACGCATCAGCTCCTGCCGCAGACGCGCATGCTCGTGGGCTAGCGGCGCGATCTGCGGTTAACCGACGGCCGACGGGCTCCGTTCCGGTGGCTCCTGCTGGATCTCGATCACGTTCTTGCCGCCCACGTCCTGGCCGAGCCATCCGCAGGCTAGAGCTGCGCAGCATCACTAGGCTCCACTTGTGGAGAGCTGGCCTTGATGTTGGGGACCATGAGTCCATGAGGTGTGTCCACCGCAACCTGCGATGCGAAGGGTGGCAAAGGCTCCCTGACAGCCCAGGACCCGGGCCGAGATGTTGTGAGAGCCGTAGACGGTGTAGCTGGGGGGATTCGCCTCCGAGGGCCTCGCGTCCGAGCGGTGCTGGGGCCTTTGGGGGAGCCGGCATCCTCCGGGGCCCCGCACCCGAACTTGGAATTCATCTTCGGGTTGTCGTAGAGGGCCAAAGAGATGGCCTCTCAATCGACGATCCAGTCCATGATCGTGATCACATTGCCATGTTCAACATGCCTTCAACATGAAGGAGGTCACCGTGACCTGAAAAGGCTGAGATCACGCTGCACGCTCCATCACCCACGTGCTGCAAGTGAAACACTCACAGCTGCAGTGGTTCTTTTTGACTTCTCTTCTAAAGCTCGGTGACAGCACGCTTGGAGCACTCGGACTACGGTCTGTACACGACAACGTGCCTACTCGGCGTCGGTCTCCTCGGCCTCCGTAGTGTTGTCGTCCGGAATGCCTTGGACAGCGCCTGAGAAAACACTTGTTTTAAGTGATCCGGAAACGAGCTCGTTGGCGAAGTCGTTCTTCGACATGGCCGAGGTCTCTGCAAACAGGGCGGTCAGGTGCGGCAGGGCGGCAGCGACATAGATCTCCCGTGTTTTTTGTCGTGCCCCTAGCAGCAACTCAGGCTTGTAGCCGAGCATGATCCTGTGGATCCTGCCCTCGAAGCGCTTGGCATGGAACTCCGAGGACAGCAAGTGGATCCCCAGCACGGTAACGAGAGAAAGACGTGGCTCCACAGCCAGCATTTCCACTTGATACCGATTCAAGCGTTGACCCAAGCAGCATGTCGAGCGACTACGGCCGACCTTGTAGTAGGCGAGCCCATTGGCGTCCACGGCTTGGAGCAGGTGGACCGTGAACCACAGCGGTTTCTGGAACACCGCTTTGGCCTCCGAGTCCAGGGTGTTGAGACTGAGAGTATGAGCCCCCGAGGTCGTCAACGGAGAATGAAACTTCCGCAGTTGCGCCTCAAGCTTCTTGAGTTTCTCAGTGAAGGAGGTCCGCTTGCTCGATAGACTGCTTGGGTTGTCCAGCCAGGTCGGCCTCGCATACTTGCTGTTCGGCGTCCACAGCAAGGCAGGTACGAGCACGGCGGAGGTTGCTGGAAGAGTGGCGCGGCGGCCGCCTTTTTCCCGCTGGAGGGGTGCAACCCAAGCAGTCTATCGAGCAAGCGGACCTCCTTCACTGAGAAACTCAAGAAGCTTGAGGCGCACATGCGGAAGTTTCATTCATGAGCCATAGCACCCACGCACACGACCGAATCATGATGAAGGTGTCCGCTTCGTCATCAAGGACTGCACGTTGCCGACGATCTCGTCTGCCGCCTGGAAGTCGACTCTCCTTGGAGACTGGCCTCGGATCCTCATTCTCCTTGTCGGCCTCAAGAGACTTCCTCTTCTTGCGTGTGGGCTTCCGAGGCACTTGCTCTGCCGCTGGCACCGCCTCTGACACTGTCGGTGCCGGGGGTCCCTCTGGCACTTGCTCTGCCAGCCGCCTCTGACACTGTCGGTGCCGGGGGTCCCTCTGGCACTTGCTCTGCCGTTGAAGCCGCCTCTGACACTGTCGGTGCCGGGGGTCCCTCTGGCACTTGCTCTGCCGTTGAAGCCGCCTCTGACACTGTCGGTGCCGGGGGTCCCTCTGGCACTTGCTCTGCCGCTGGCACCGCCTCTGACACTGTCGGTGCCGGGAGTCCCTCTGGCACTTTCTCCAAACTTTGCTTCTGCAAGCGAATGTTGTGGAGCTCCTTGTTCAGTTCGGCGATGGTGTCCAATTGTTGTTTGATGATTGCAGAATTATGCTCGATGGTGCTGTTCTGCTTCGACTCTATGCGCGCCTTGGCCAAGGACTGCAAAGAATGGATCAAGGACTCTGTCTTGCTCGCGTCGCAACTTCCTCTTGCCACCTGGTCCATGGTCTTGACCGTCAGATCGCTAAATGCTTGGCTCTCCGAAGGACTCCCCAATCCTCCAAGAGAGCCTAGCATGCTCGCGTCTGGCATGTCAAGGCTCACCGCGAACGGAGACGAAGACATCACTGAGCTCAAATGGCTACGGTGGAGTGGAGGGGAGTGCCGCGTGGGGGAGCCGTGACCTTCCGTGCGTCCATGCGTGTTCGAGCCACAGAGCCACGCGAAGCGACGCAAGTCCGCGCCTTGGTCCCGTACTTCTTCAGCGCATAGTCCTGAGGAGAAGGAGGCCGAACCCCGCCGGGCATCTTTGGACCCCGCTCTCTTCCCCGCCTTCAATTGCTTTTGCAAGGCCAGCATGTCGGTCATGTCAATCTCCTGAACACTTTGCTCCCACGGCTCTGTCTGGGTTTCAACAAACATTGTGTCCGATGGCAGAACGGAAGACTTGCGGAACATGTTGAGGACGGGCATTCGGGGTGTCTATTTGTTCCCTTGGTTGGCCTCCGACCAAGGGTTTCTGGGCTGCACTCTGCGCTCAAATACAAGCCACCACGGGCGAGATGGATGGCACCTCCCCCAAAGCCATGTAGGGCACGACGAGAGACGCTTGCATGGACTTGACCTCATCGCAATGACTTTGACAGTTCCGAAGTGGCGCGCACCCTGCGAGTCCCGAGCCATGCCCTTGCCGACGTTGTCAGTGATCTGAATCACTTGATCCTGCCAAGAGAGCCCAGCGCGTACTCAAGCCGCTAAAGACTCGACCGTTTCAAGCGCAGGCTGCGTGTTGCTGCAGCCTCCAGGACGCGCGCGGCGGGCACGAACACCGCCGCCGCCGTGGGGGCACCACTTGCTGTGGCCGGCGCACCGGCACCACTCAGATCCTGTAGGGAAGCAACGGCCGCTGCGACTGCACCTGGCCCCGCTGGCCCCTGGCGGCCGCGGCAAAGCTCCTCCTCGAGCACGCGGCCATTCGCCCCTGCATCTGATCAACGTGTCCGCCGCGCGATTCCGCCGTTGCCCCCGCGATTCCCTGCCTGTGCCCTTGACGGTGTTCAAGTCGATGCCCAGCTTCTTCGCAAGGCTACGCACCTCAAGGAGGCTCTGCAGAGGCTGTTTGGATATATACTACGACGCGCTCTCGTGACCACAGCCTTTGGGGTCGCTAGAACGCCCGGAGCAGCCTACGCCAGGCGGTGTTTGGACGGCTTGGACCACGAGTTCGCCTGGCCTGGGCCTTGCCAGCCGGCGCAGCTTTCGGCGCCGCGGTGGCCGCTGGCTGGGCCGGCGCAGGGCTGGCCGCAGGGGTGGCTGCTGGCGTTGGTGCAGCCGGCGCCGGTGTCGATGGGGCAGCGGCAGAGGAAGCCTTGAAAAGGGCCTATGGCATAAGACATATATAATAGCAGGTAGCCCATATAGCGGCATATATCTCAGATATATATTTAGCATGCTGTCATCTGCTGCCGTCCCACCAGCTAGGCAGTAGGGCCGTGGCCGTCTCGATGTCCACCAAGGTGCTTCCGACCTTCACCGTGTCTTGAACCTTCGAAGCGCCACTTTAAAAACTTCGACGCCAAGCGCTCGTGGCCCGCGAGCCAGCAGCCGCCAGCAGCCTCACCTTGTGGTGGATCTTCACCACTTTGCCACTGAAGGGGCTGGAGAGCTCGACCGAAGCCTGAGAATTGTTGGAAGTTGTCTCTCTGTCTCAGGCTGTCTCTCTTTTCAAGAGGCGCCTTGTCGCTCTCAACGGAACAGAGGTTGTCCATCTCCTGAAACGTTTCGGCTAGGAGTATCGAGGCTGAGGCAGAGACGGGCCCCGCCGCGGGCCTTGACCACGTCACCTCGCGGAGAAACGCAGCTCGCAGCAGCAGCTCGCAGGAGCAGCTCGCAGCTCAGCCCCACCTTCTTTGACGAACCACTCCGTGAGCTGGACCTCGGCGATGCCCTCGCCGATGTCTGCCAGCTTGAAGGCCTGCACCTGCTTCATGTGCCCACTGCAATGCAGTGCAGCCGCTTCTGCCACTTCTGCGGCTTCTGCCAGTCGTGGCCTGGGCACCCCCTGCAGCGGCAGGGGCCGCCGCCGGCGTAGCTGCAGGCGCAGGCGTGGCCGGAGTGGCCGGCGCTGCGGCTGGGGCGGCCGAGGAGCCGCCTGTCTCCACGTCGATGAGCACAGAGCCCACTTTCACCGTGTCCTGCACCTCAGCTAAGATTTTCGGCTCGACTACTCTCCTTCCACCTTCCGAGTCGCCGAAACGCCTTGTGGTGGATCTTGGTGACCTTCCCTGTGTAGGGGCTGGTGAGTTCCACGGACGCCTGGCTCCGCCGACTGCTGGAGCACAGAGTGCAGACACGTGCGGACTCTGCGAATCGCTGGGGGCAATCGGATGTATGCACGAAGCCTTGTCGCTCTCGACACTGCAAACGTTGTCCATTTCCTTGACCTAAGAAAGCACACTTCAGTGATGTTCAATGGGACTCGCTATCTGCTATCGCTGTGATGCTCCGAGGGGCCATGTCGCCCTCCTTAACGAACCACTCGGTCAGCTGAACCTCGGCGATGCCCTCGCCGATGTCAGCCTCAGTCGGGAAAAGGACCAAAGGACCCAGGACCCGGCACACTTCCCCGCTCGGGCGAGCAGCCAGTTTGAACTGCTCCACAGCCAGCGCCGCAGTGGAAGTTCTGACAAAGAGGCTCCGAAGAGGGCAGAAGCAGGGCGACAGCTGGGGCGAACTGGTCCTGAAGTGTCGGAGCTCCGTCTTCGAGTCCTGCCAGAAGCCAGCCACCTCCAAATCCAAGCACCGTCACAGCTCGAAGACTACACGCTGGCTCTCAACAGAAGTCAGGCTGCCATTCCAGCCTTTGGCGGAAGACGAGGGGCCGCGGAAACTGAGGCGAGCTGCCATCGCAGGCTGGCGGAAACAGGCCGCGACACCTGGACCAGCAAAGACATGGCGAGCGATTTTTTCGGCAGATGTTGTGGGCCCTGGCTCGCAGCAGCCGCCTCACAGCCATCTCCGTCTCCCTCCTTGGTACAGCAACTCGCTTAGCGCAGTTGGCGGCTTCGGCTGCGGGGAGAGCTCGGTCTGAGACAGCGGAACTCCGCCAATGGCCGAGCCGCCAGCCGCCGCGACTTTCTGCCCCCAGAAAACTGAGCCAACCAGAAGAGGGGCTGAGCGAGGGAGCCACCTACGAGGCCTCATCCCTGTCTTATCTGATGCAATATGCAGTCGTATGCAGTCGTATGCATGTATGTGCAGACTGGGCAAAAGCTGTCGAGGTCCTTTTTTGGCAGTGCTGCTAGCCTTTCTGCTTCTGCTGCAGTGCGGCAGCGAGCTGCCGAAGACCTGGCGCCAGGGTCGCAGGGGCAGAGCCTTTCGAGTTTACGCGAGTCTCTCCGTTTTTGATCCCTCGTGCCTTTCTGGGCCACTTCCGACCTCCACCAGCTCATGTCTTCCATGCACACGAAAATCATGCACGCCACTGAGTGTTTCAACGCTTCGCATGCGCTCATACCAGCTCATGTACTTGTGAGATGTGTTGCAATCTCAGAGGTTTTCGCTTACAGATCGCCAGTGTGAACGAGTCCCACCAGTGAACGAAACGCGTAGCTGTTAGTGCGATCTTGGCTGGATGCCCTTGCATGTGGCTTGAGTGGGCCGGTGAAGGCAACTACTAGCGCATTCGCCATGATGCATCCTTTTGCTTTTGCGCGCTGAAAGAAACGACGTCAGAGAAGCCTTGGAACCTGGAGCTCGAGGCGTTCTGAAGGAGGGGACTGCTCAGCAAAGGCCCCCTTGTTCAGGGATCACACGCAGCATGCATTGATGGCGAAGATAAAGTTGCATGGTGGTTGCAACTTCACAAGTCTTGACAAAGAGACAACAGCGATGATTCAGGACACACCCGAAGCTTTTCGCAGAGTTTACTTTCTGGAACGAGGTGCCGAAGACGCTTGTCGGACAGGAGAGACAAAGAGAGAGACCGGAAGTCCACGCAACGTGATGAGCTTGTCAAAACAGAGGCCGAATTTCGGATGATCGACTATTTGACAATGATGTAATCAAGCTCTTAGGGATGGATAGTGCGCATCATGTGGTTCCGAAAACTAGTGCATTGGCCTTCTTTGTTATCGGCATCCTAATCTTGCCAAGGCCTAATGCAAAGTCGCTGGCACGCATGCCCCGCCCTACCGACTCGCGTGGGAGATCAGTGCCTCGCGATGCCACTCAACAATCACAAACCTTTCAATCTGCTGAGTCGACAACGTCCCTGCATCTGTTCCTGCTTGCTTGTCCAAAGGAAGGATATTCGTGTACTGACCCCCATTCTTCAAAGCATGGCAGCCTTGGGGGCCATTGCACGTCGCAGCGCATGCTGCTCACCGTGCAAACGAGCCGGGCGAAGGCAATGTTGGAAACACTTCGGCATCCGTTCATCCGGACATCTCTCGGTCCGGACGTTTGCTACACGAACTCCGCACATATGAATATGTGCCACATGCTCCGAACGAAGACTTGGTTGAGCCGCGCGGAAATGCTTACCATCATACAATCTGCGTTGTGACATGAAAACTTGGGAGATGGTGCTTCTACGACGCCTCCTTGCAGGTGGCAGGTGGCCCAGAGGACAAGGGCAAAAACCGTCGAATTGCTTTGCTCGGATAATTTTGGGATTCACCCAAGGGACAGGATTCCTCCAGGAGCGCAGCCTGTCCAACATTGCTGTGTGACACAAGGAGGAGTAGTCTCGATGGTCATGTAGGTGACATCCAAGCAGCGATAAGTATACACGCATGTATGTATCTTGATGCATGTGTGTGTGTATATATATATATATATGTATACATATATGTATACATATATATATATATATATATATATACCTATGTACACACACACACGCACGCGCACACACACACACACACACGCCCTATACTATGAATTTTTGAGGTGGAGGTTCGAGCATCCTGGACCAGCATGATGGCATGCTGGCTTCACTGTCGACGTGCGGAATTTGCATCGACGCACGCAGCAGTGGAATTTGCATGTCTTTACATGTCTTTGTGCTGAGGTCGTGATCTCTATAAACATGAAATCGGCATTGCTGTTCTGGGGACGTTTCACGGACGATGCCTTCGCGATGCTTCCCGTGATCTTAGCCAAAACACTCTTGCATGTGGCTTGAGTGTACCATTCATTCAGCAGATGGAGAGAGAAACGTTCTCCGCACAGAGATTGCGGGGCCTCTCGAGAGCGTCGCCCCGGGCCTCCAAAAACAAAGGGGGAGCACAAACAGGGCAGATGCAGGGCACATCGCAGTGTCCTCGCCGCGGTTGCGGAGAGCGTCCAAGTTCTCCACAAGCTCGGAGAATTCCTCAGCGAAAAATGGGTTTATAAGCCTCCGCTGCGCCGCCTAGTGCCCCGCCGGCCCCGCCTCGTCGTCCAAGTCCTCCTCCAGCGGCTCCTCGTCCCCGTACCTCCGTCAACAGAAAGGAAAAACTTCCCGCGCAAGGCGCGCGCTGTGTGGGTCCCCCCCCCTGGCGGGTGCAGGCTCTCCAGCTTCTCCCAGGCAGGCGCTTCCGGTGAGAGCAGGAAGTCCTTTGTCCCAACCCGGGACTCCATGAAAGCCGTCTTCATCATCCCGCTCCGCCCTGTTCCGCAGCTCCGCCTTGACCCGAAAGCCGCTGAGGGTGTCCGTGCGCGGGACCTTCAGCGGCCCCTTCAGCTCCGAGGACCACTTCCACTTCAAGGACTCCTGCAAGTTCGAGCCAAAGGGCGGGCGTCTTCCAAACGATATCAGTAATTGATTATCCGACTCGCAGTACATAGTAAATAATTACATACATACATACATGCATACATTGAAATTGTGTAATTATGCGTGTATGTATGTATGTATGTATGTATCTGCTACTAAGGGTTTGGGATCGAACAGCCGACAGGAGGCTTGTATTGCCCGCGACCCCAGTGTGCACCAGCACACGACCGGCCTGACGCGCCATTCCGGCCTCTCCACCTTGGCATCGGCGTCAGAGAAAGCGGCGTGCATTGGCACGCAAGTCTATCTGGGCTTCCAGACGAAAAGGCCTACCGGGTCCCTTACGCGCTGCCACCCTTCTGGCAGCACACCACTCCATGCCTCAATACCTGGAGTTGATGGGACGAGGAGGCCGACAGCCGCCATGGAAGCGAGAGGAAACCGGAGAAAGCTCTCAAGACTACAAGGCACCTCGAGGAGGACAGCCCAAGGGAGACAAGTCTCGGGATTACTGGCGTGGTTCTTGGTCCTCACCGAAGGGTGCCAAGCAACAGGACCGCTACGATACGGTCCCTCTTCCGGAGGAACGAGCACAACCGGCTCCCAGCTTGAGCTTCTTCATGAGCGATGCGGAATCTTCCCAGGCGCCCCCGGCCCTGCGAGAGATTCAGAAGTACCTCTCACAGGCGCAGCGTGCCGACACGAGATTGCGGAAGCTCAAGGAGGAGCAGGACAAGAAGTCCAAACACTGGGAAGTGTACGAACAGCAGATGAAACAAGAGTTTGCCCGTCAGCGACGCGCTTTCGAGGCGGATCTGCAGAGGATTGCTCAGGATGCGCAGGAAGCTGCGGAACATGGACAGCAAGCAGCTCAAAAGGTCAAGGAGGTCGTGCTCCGTGGCCGAGTCGAAAGGGACGACCCCATGGGGACACAGAATGCAGCATGGGATGCCCTGATGCGGTCGGACAAGGAGGAGCCTGTGCGCAATGGTTTCCTGCAGGAAGCCTTGCATGTTGCCCAGCATGGACAAGCAAGCCGACCCCCAGACCTGACAACCGAGCTGAACAAGGAGCCGTCAAACCGTGGCCCCCCGTCCGAAGACCCTGCCTCCAGAGGTGCTGGTGGGCCACAGCCGATGACAACTGCCGCTCCGCCTGGACTTGCACCAGTTGGAACAGCTGCTCCGGGCGCTGGCTCATACGTTGGAATGGGCCCGCCGGATCCATACAAGGCCTCTCCGAGTGGGGCTTACAGGAAGCCGTCGACATCACCGCGAGTGAGCCCCTACGAGAATGCCAAGGGGCCATCGGCTGCCAGCCAGGCATCGGGCTCGGACGAAGGTCACACACTCGAAGCCAAGCTGGCGGCCAATCGTGCTCTCAAAGCTTTTGGACTCAAGACTGTCAATGCACCCGGCGGCCCGGTGAAGGAAGCTGCCGTGCCGACAGGCCCACCAAAGCTTGTCAACGACGACGAGGAGGACGAGCTGTCGAAGACTGCAGCACTACGAGATCCTGGAGGTATGGACTGAGTGCTGGTAGGTTGGGGACCTTATGCGATCAGGGTTTTGCTGCTGAAGCACCCCGCCTGGTACGGCCTGATGTGTGTGCATGGAATGGGGCCATGCCACACAGCAGAAAGTCCCGTGTCGGGCAAGGGATGCTCCCGCAGCAGAGTCGAGATCTGCAAATGTGTTCCCAACGGTTTCACACCTGTCTTCGATGCCTTCGTTTCGGTTTTGGCACTACGCTGTCCGAGTTTTCTGCACGGCCCACGATCTGCCCTGCCCTCTGTCGATGGGGAAGGTCTGCCGCCAGCCATTGGGTTCTTGGCCTGGCGACCGGCCCCCCTCTGTCTTCCTCTGCCGGTGACAGGGAGCATTTTCTTGGTGTTCTCCTGATCTCGGCCTCGCCTGCTCATGCCGTGCACGGCACAATTTGCCATGACGCGCCTCCCTGCCTAACAAGAAGCAGAGCCCCTTGTCGCAGCGGCCGAAGTGCCCGCCTTCCTTTTGAGCTCTGCCAGCGCTCACCCATGGAAGGTGAATAGGAGGGATGGGGCAGACAACGCTTACATCCCCTCCGGCCCCTCATGGGACCTCACAAGCAGCGCTGCAGAGGCAGATGTTCTTGGGGTCACTGCGTA